GCGGGTTCGATATATGTGAGTTTCACTGTACTTTGATAAGTAGAGTACTATTAGTACTTTGAACATTAAAATTAATAATAATTTATTTAATAGAGAAAGCAAAGATAAAATTTTTTCACAAACACACATCCAATTCTCATATGAAATTGTCGATATTCCTTTTCTGCCCATGGGCAACTGCTGCACTCGCAATAAAAAGGAGAATGGTATTACAAGAAAGAATGTATTTACTGCACAGTGGTCCTGTGGGAACCAGAGGAAATACTAGACCGAGAGAGCGGAATCCATTTGTCGAAACACGTTTCCAATCGGCGTTAACAAATTACTGTGTGTATACTATTTTCGTTTATATATATCTAAAGTACCAAATGTCCAAGGGGAGGAACAACAATAAACAAGGTTTCCTCTTTTCAAAAAATTTATCACTTTTGTATAAAAAAAGTCACGCAAGTTACTAATTAAAACTGTGTATATACGCTACACACTCTTGTTCTATGAAAATTTTCAACTACTCACTGATGCAAATTAAGAGCAGAAACACCTCTATCACTCTCTGTGGAAATTTGCCAAATTTTTATTATATAAACAATGACAAAGTAGTAGAAAGAAGAAATTAAGCAACAAAATTAATCAAAAACTAATAACTAGAAGTTAAATAAAAATTAACCTTAAACAAAATTTAACCTAAAAGAACAATTAATCTAAAACAAAAATTAACCTTAAATGGAAACTAACCCAGAACAAAAATTAAAGCAACTGTCAAAAGAATAAAGAAAAGATGATATATTCTTTATATAACGGCGGAATATAAGTAAAACTTGATGCACTTTCCTTTATCTGTGATCTATCTTGTATCTCTAACAATTTTTCTTTTTCTTCTTTTTTTCTTTTTCTTCTTCTTCTTTTTCCTCTTCCTCTTTTTTTATCCGTACAATATTTTTTCATATCTCTTATATATTTTACATATATCTATATCTATATCTATATATATATATATATATTTCCCATCTTCTTATATGTTTTTTTCTTCCATACTTCTATGCTAGTTTCTACTCCAGTACGCCGATCACGGTTTCAGTACTGATATTGGTGATATTTGTCAAGTGGACAGAGATACAAATATACACACACTAACACACATATAAATATATACTTGTAATGGAAGTATACTTTCAAGATTTGACACAAAAATCTCAGAATGTAACATGTTTCGTTTTCAAACTCTGTGATATTCAAATAATAGTAAGGAGATTTTCTGCGAAGTACTCAGATCCAAGAAAAGTCTTTCCGTTTAGAATCGTGAATTTAAATAAATGGGATATTTATATATTTATACAATTCTTCCATTTTCACAATTCAAACATATATTTTTTTAGTTCAATAATTAATAAATAAATAAAATAATAATAAGAATAACAATAATTATTATTATTTATTTATTATTATAATTGCTATTATAATTAATAATAATAATAATAATAATAATCTCTCTATATTATGAAAAGATTTCGCCGCTGTCTTCAGTATAGGTCATATTCCATGTATAGGTCATACATGTGTACCCAATCCATGTTTTGGAGAAGGTTAGGTTATGTTAGGTATACACTGTAAAAAATAGTTCTGAATTTAAATGTTCGAACAGTATAATTACACAATTCTGTAAAAATTATTTTACAAGATTATGTGATTTCACTGCACTCAACATGACAATATTTTTAATTTTGAGGTTAGAAACACAAGATTCTGTAAATTCACAGTATTGTGAAGAGCGATTTTACATAGCACTGTGAAATATCAACCCGAATGTGAATTCACTCTGCTGGGCTATGGTGATTTTACAGAAATTTTTTTTACAGTGTAGAATGACCCGCATATATTCTTATATTAGTATTTTATTTCGGATTTTAACCCTAAACCATGAAGTAGTATAAGGAGACCGAACGACCATGTTAAATCTGCGTTAAAAGTGGACCAAATTTTGGTAACCGCTTAGTGTCATGAAAATACGTAATGGAACACTAGCGCCACTGATTGTGTTAAACTCAGCTGGACAGTCAGCCATTATAAAAGTTTTAAAAATAAGGAGCGATGTATTTTTGGGTTATGTTCAACGTACTTCTAATTTTTCCCACTGTTTACATACTTCCCACGAGAGCGCTTGTGTTCCATTACGTATTTTCATGACATTAAGCGGTTACCAAAATTTGGTCCACTTTCAATGTACGTCGTTCGGTCTCCTTATACTACTCCATGCCTCAAACCCACAAGCGAATTGACGTGGCACGACCCATATATCTACTAATATTAGTATTAAAACGGACATAACCTCAAAATTCAAGGTCCTAGGTCTCCAGGATTCAAGGTCATGGATCAAAGATTATCTTAAAATTCAAGGGCATAGTTTCCAGGATTCAAGGTCCGAGATCAAACATAACCTCAAAATTTTAGGGCATAGGATTCCAGGATTCAACGTCTTAGTTCAAATATAACCTCAAAATTCAAGGACATAGGTCGTGAGACCGTTGGGTTTATCCGACAAACATAATTTCAAATCCCCCTAACCAAGAAACTAACATAACCTCAAAATTACACTGAGAAAAAAAATTTAGTGATTGCAACAAAATTGTTTGATTAGACAATTTTGGTTCTTGTAACGAAATTTTGGTTGGCTGAAACAAAGTCGCAGAGTTATCTCAACCAAACATTTGGTTAGGCCAACAAAATTATTTGGTTGAACATTTTTAAATTCCAACCAAAATTCGGTTACGATAACAAAATAATTTGGTTAACACAACAAAATAGTTTGGTCTAAAAAACCAAATGATCGTTTGTTTTCCTAACCAAAATTTGGTTGCGACAACCAAATAATTTGATTCACTCTCAGCTCATAGCTTAAGAGAACAGTTAGTTTAAATTTCTCACAAGGATTGGTAGACCAGTGGTCAGTGCTCCCGACCTTCAGTTTTAAAACAGAGCGATGGCTGGGCGTAAAAACATGATATCTCGAATTGGCGTTGAAAAAACATGATATCTCAGATTAGCGTTGGAAAACATGACATATCGTCGTTTGATTTGAAAAACATGACATGTCGAAAACGAAATTTTTCTTTTCAAATTTCTGTTGGTACCACTGACCGCGAAATTTAAAATGGTTTATTATATTAAATTTTTTAAGAATATAATATGATGATATTAAAATAATAGAAGTAAAATCTTGCAATATACACATATAATTTTGAATATTTTACATGAAATTTGTTTTAAATCAACGGGATTACAATACAAAACACAAAATTATATAGCTTTATGTTTTTTATTTAATATTAATTTCTTTTCTGAAAAATAATATCTCAAATAACAAAAATAACTTAAAACTAACTAACTGTATTTGTAAAAGCTATAATTAAAAAAAAATTTGAACGTAAATGATTTTACAAATCTAGATCTGTAATTAAAAAATTTGTTTCACAGAGATTTATTTATTTACTTGATATTTGTTCATTGCCTTTGTTTTCTAGGTTAACAATTTTGTAACCTTTTTCATTAGAAATAATTTCTGTATTTAAGTGGTTGTCTGTATTATTAATTACTTTTACAGCTGTATAAGATAACGTCATGGGTGGCAAATCCTCCAGGACATGAATAATTGGAGGGTTTACTAGAAAAAATTTACCTAAGTTAATTTAATTTATTTAATAATTGTGTTTTAAAAAATATACTTTACTTACTCTCCATGATTTACTCTTTAAACAAGTATTTAAACAACACCAATTGTAATAGAATATTTACAATATAAATATTTATAATAAAATAGAATTATTTATAAAATCACAGGTTTTATCAATCTAAATATAATATAAGAAGCTATTTAACCTAATTTTTCTTTAAACTGACATATTATGAAGCAAAATCATTTGTTTCATAAAACAGTTTCAAAGATTTGACACATTTTAAATTTCGCGGTCAGTGGTACCAACAGAAATTTGAAAAAAAAATTTCGTTTTCGACGTGTCATGTTCTTCAAATCAAACGACGATGTATCATGTTTTCCGACGCTAATCCGACGTATCATGTTTTTCAACGCCAAATCGATGTATCATGTTTTTAGACCCAGCCATCGAGAGGTTCGATCCCAGGCGGAGATGAGATTTTTCAAAGTCCACAAATATTTAAATTGGATAAATATAAATTCAATGTTAAATTGATAATAAATAAATAATGAAATAAATAAAAAAGATAAAAAAAAAGAAATAAAGTAGAATAAAATTTTTAATTTTACAAAAAAAACTGTTTGTTTGATCAACCAAACATTTTTGTTGACCTAACAAAAAAAATTTGGTTGAGCTAACCAAACATTTTTGTTATGCCAACAAAAAACACTCAACCAAATTTTTTGGTTGACTCAAACAAATAGTTTGGTTGCTTAAATACCAACCAAATTTTTTTGTTGGCCCAACCAAATTTTGGTTGCTCTGAGTAAACATTTTCCTCAGTGTAAGATAAAATTTTAATAATTTTAATATACGCAAGCCTTTAAAAAATTAATCATTAAAGTGAAAAATAATAAGGGTTACACAGAAAATTATAAGGTAGTAAAATAAGCGTTGCAGCTTATTTTAATGCCTTTTAATTTTCTGTGTATATATAATTAATTACAATAATAATTGTTGTTGGTGTTATTATCATTGTTATTATAAATAATAATAATAATAATAATAATAATAATAATAGTAATAATAGCCTAACAACAAGACATTTTTTTATTGAGAAGGATATAAAAACACCAAAGTGAATATGCCATTAAACGCTTCAATAAACATTTACGGACAATTTTGAGTTTACACGCGAGGGCATATAAATAAAATTTCTTTCGCAGCGTTTGCTGGAAAAATGGCAATGAAACGAAATTGTGGCCAATTGCAGAAAACGAGAAAGGAGAATTTGACTCTATACATTGAAGGTTGTTAGATCGGAATGACGCTAACTTGCTATGGTGAATATTCTACAAAAAGTTATCATTATTCAGGAAAAAAAATTCTCTCTTTTTTGTCAATTTTATTCAATATTAAATTTGGGAAAATTCACTTGTTTTACAGCTTCTTTTAAAAATGTATCAAATATTGGTTTCCATTCGATTCTTAATTTATCGAGAACAAATTCTTTCTTTTTGGCAGCTTCATAAAAAAATTGTTTACGCAATCTTTGTGTTAATCCATTGTTGGGATAAAATTTCAATCCAGGTTTAATATCTGATAAACTGTCAACTATTGCAACTATCTCTTTACTTGGAAACGATACTGTAATCTAAAAATTATTTTTTGTATATAATTATTAATTTAAATTGAGAGAAAAATTTAAATAAAATACCCATTTTCTTACATTAAATAAAAATGTAAATATATCTGGTTCAATGATAACAGATCCAATTGCTTTATCTGTATAATTTGTTATATTTTGAAATTCGAATTTAAAATCTTGGAATATTTGCATTTTTTTAATTTCAATCACTCCCTTAATAGTATACTGATTGGGTTCTTTTATTGGTATAAATCTTTGTTCGATTTTTCTTTCGTCTACTAGAAATTTAGAAAAGTCAAATGCAAATCCATCCTTTAAGTACAAAGATCCTAGCAACTTATATCCAAAACAACTTACACTATATTAACAAAAAATGTATTTATTAAAAATTAATTATTCTACACGGAAAAAATTAATTCAGTATATTTTACAAAACTGTGACGGAGTAGCGGATACAGCTCTTTACGAAACAGAGTTTTGTAAAATGTGATGGATATTTTCGGATAAACTACAGAAATTTCATTGTTTATACTGAATATTTCTGAAGTTTATCCTGAATATTTAGTGACATTTTACAACACTCAGTTTCGTAAAGAGCTGTATCCGCTACTCCGTGATAGTTCTGTAAAATCTACTGAATTAATTTTTTCCGTCTATGTATGAAATTACCAACAAAAAAAAATAATGAAGGAACTGTGAATTAAATTAAAGTTGCTTTATATAAAATGCAACAATGATTATTGAACATTAATCAATAAGCGAAACGTTAACTGAAAGAGAAATATATGATATAACAGATAATATAGCTTTAATTTGAGGTAAATATGTATGCTGATTTAATTGAATTGCAAAATGAATTCAAGCGAGAGATAATATAATATGAAATATTAATGGGAAAACAATAATGAGATGATACTTGCTTATATGGAAGTTGATAATCTGGTACGGGTAAATTTGAAAGCCCATAGTTTTTAACAATATTCCACATTGTACTATTGACATCTGCCAAATAACTTTTTACTTCATTAAGTTCAATAGCATTTCCATAATTGTAATTAAAATACAAAAAACAACAGATGTGTAACAATGGAGTTATTTTCATTATTCGGTTATTATATAAAACAATGGAAGTGATATTTTGTAACAAAAGTAAACAAAATTAAATAATGAAACAAATTTTACGTTCATTTATATACCTTTATGATAAGAAAAAATTCGATAAAATGATAAAGAGAATTATGTATATATTCAAATTACGTCATATATGATGTAATACGATTTATTAATATATTGGTTCCAAATTATTTGTGTCGTTATTATTTTGATACAAAATTTTTCGAAACTAATTTTACATTTTAAGAATAAATTAACTTGTTATTTTCAGTTGCACAAAATTTTGTGGCAAAAAATTAGGATCATTTTTCTAATAGTCATTATTTTGATACTACTATTTTTTTCCTATTTGTGTAAATAAACATAAAAAAAAAGTTCTCTCGAATTAATAAATTACTATATATATCTCCCCTTTATGCAGAGTGGAAAAAATTCTCGCCAACGTTTTAAATATATATTTTTTTTTCAAAGTGCTCTTTTTAGTTTTAATTTTTTTTTTAATGATTGGTACGCTTCGCAGAATACCACACGTAATTCGTTAGTCTGGTGACGACACTTTAGTGCTAGAGAAGCGCTGGGTTGAATAAGAAGTAAAAGAAAAAAAAAAGAACTAGGTGCTTGGTTATGATAAAATTATGCTAACTATGCTAAGGTTTGACGTGACGAGGGTATCTCTGCTGTCTGTTCAAGGAAGGGAAGACTTTAAGTTTCGAGCTCATGAGAGGCGAAAAAAGTAAAAAACGAAGGGGTTATAACGTGATGACAGATTCTCAGATATTTTTCGGAAAAAAATATTTTTATATGTCATCGACCTCGTAAACTTTCAATTCGTATTCGATTTGAATTCGGAACTTAATTTCTCATCGGATTTCACCTCGAATTTTAAGCGGAAACCCGCTCCACGAATCTTATGAATAGAAAATTAAGCTCGGTCGGATGGAAACGAAAGAAGGATAGCGGAGAAAGTATATAGAAGCAAAACCCTTGTTTACGGAAAACGTCAATGAAAATCATTAGACTCCATTGTGAGATATCAAATTAGAATAATTGAAGTTTCAAACATTGTAAGCAAACAATCTGTAGAAGAGAGGATTTTTTTGTTTCTTTCTGATTCAAACTAAATAAATGCAATTGTAAAAACGCAAAAGTTTGCATGTAAATATCAAAATTTTACTTTTTTACAATAAGAGAAGAAAAGGCAAATAAACAAAAAGAATTTTCAATCCCGTTTTGATTTAATAATCAGTATAAAATTAAAAAAAAAAAAAAAAAAAAAAGACTAAAGAATCTGTAACTCTGGTCACTAGAGATCAAAAAGTTGTGCAGGCAGTTTGTAATTTTTCACTCGATATGATACGCGAGTTTCGTGGATATATATATGCCCTTATACCCGTCTCTCGATATATTTTCTCAGCAGTTCAAATATTTTGCATCGCAATTTTTCCAATTTCGTTCTCTCTGATAACCTTCCAACTTTTTCTTTTAACGATATTTATTTGAGAAATGATTTTTGTTTAGTTTATGTTTTTCATATATAGAACTTGTTATTAAAAACTAACATCTTATTGTTTAATTAATTTTTATACACATCCAGAGAAATATTTTATTCACATTTATTTCAGGCAAATAAAAATATATATAACTTTTTGTTTTAAATAAAAAAATTTAATTAGCACAAATAAAATTTTATTTGTCGCAAATTAAATTTATTTAGCATACTTAAATAAAATTTTATTTAGCGCAAATAAAATTTATATAAAACAAATAAATATTTATTTGTCTCAGAGGCAAATATTTATCTTTTCCCTGGGTGTGATTTCATCAGAAAATAAACAAAACGCTACAAAAAAAGTAGTTTTTAGCAAAGGGAAATATTCTCGTTTTGAGAGGATAAGGGTTCATACCACTTTACACGCTTGAAAATGAAGCTATTTTCTATATTTTTTTTTACGATTCCTAAGGATTATATTGATCTGCATTTTTTTTTAGTTCAATAAATACACTCTTTAACTTTATAAAAAACCTCATTTTATTCAAAAAATATTATTTGTTTATATATAATTGAACAATAATTTTAGACCTGCTAAAAATACCGATGCCAACCGCGGGATGTTTTTCTCGGAAACTACTGGACCGATTCTCAAAATTTTTTTACGAAAATCTTCGTCACATAAGTGGGTATCGCCGGAACTAGAATTATGAAAAAATATTCATTTTTACTATTTTTTTAAACCCTAAAACTGCCAAAAAAAACCTTAATTTTCGAAAAAAAATTTTTAAATTGCCGACATTTTGTTATTTTTGCATAAAAATTAAAAATTCGAGTTCGGGCGATAGGTGCAGTCCTACTGAAGATAAATCAACTTGAATTTTGTGTTTTAGATTTTTCTAACCTGAGAAATCAATCCCGCAACTGGCATCGGTATTTTTAGCAGATCTAAAATTATTGTTAAATTATATATAAACAAATAATATTTTTTGAATAAAATGAGGTTTTTTATAAAGTTAAAGAGTGTATTTATTGAACTAAAAAAAAATGCAGATCAATATAATCCTTAGGAATCGTAAAAAAAATTATAGAAAATAGCTTCATTTTCAAGCGTGTAAAGTAGTATGAACCCATAAGTGAGAGTCGAGGGGGAATTTACTCCGGTAGTCAAGTGTACACTTGCCTAGTAATACTCGGTAATACCTGTAATATTTTGTAATGTCTTGTAATAATAAGTATTATTGTGTAATATCATGTAATACTGTGTAATACTTGTAATATTGTGGTATTATGGTGTAATACCTTAAAAAATTTAAAGAAAATCAGACCAAAAAATGTTAATATAAGTAAAAATTTTAAACACTTGTTCAAATGTAGCGCGGGAGTTGATGCTGAAGTATAGCAACTTTGCCATTGAATGTTTACAGAATCAAATCAGAAAATGGTTCTTTAGTAATTGGCCGAATTTTAGCTTTTAGCTACCTAACCGGAATAAGTAAAAAAAAAATCGAGTACAGTAAAATATCTGCTCCTGTAATTACACCGAAACAAAATGCACGAGGCTTAGGTAGTTTGTGTTCGTGGTTTAAGATAGCAAAAACCAAATATTAAATGTTATAAACATGGATGCTCACGGATATTATAATATAGAAAATTATATTTGTTCAGTTTCTCGTCCAAAAATAAAAACAAATAAGTTATATTTATCGTGTTCTTTAAAAGAAATTTCAAAACATTTGAAATTATAGTTATTTACGTTTTAAAAAAGAGAAATTTATTATTTTCTTTTATAAGTAGGGTAAATGCACTAATTGCGGCGCGATTTGAGTCAAAACACCTTTGAAATAGAAAATTCGACATTTCTATTGTATAAACTCAATTTAAGACTTATTAAACTAAAAGGTTATGTTATTTAAATGTTAAAAAAATATTTAACTTTATAAAAATCGATTCTTTAAACAAATATGAGAAATTAAAACTAATATCGTAATTTTCTATTGCGGCGCGTTTTTATCAGTTTCGGTGTATCAATTTCGGTGACCAAAATTACGTGTATTTTGAAGATACTTTGCCTGCCGAAATTATAGCCAATGGAAATATTAAAAATGTTTCAATTACGGCGAGGGAAAAAATTTGATCTCAAATAATTTAATTAATAATTGTTTAAATGTGTTATTATTTTCTATAAATAGCTTTAAAAAAATTTTTTTAAACCCAATTGAATATCATCAATTGACTCACGATACTGTACGGTATAAGAAATCCGAACTATATTAGAGTTGTTTATTCTAGGTTCGTTGAATATTGCATTATTTCCGAAAGGAAATAGGTATCCCCATATATGGGGCGTGTGCGGTATATATACATATATATATACAGTCCCGTCCATTATCGATCCGTTACTGTTTATTGATAAATTTGCATTGTAAAAGGAAGTAGCAGTTTGGCAGTTTTGCATGAAAACGTCCCATACGGCAAAAGGGAGTTTGGAAATACACCCGGGCACCAATCGTGCATAATTCAGATGGCAATACAGAATCACGCGCTCGCGCTTTGGAAGGGGAATAACACAGCTATATATATGTATAAAAAGATAAAGTATATAAACTCCAAGCAGTATTTTATTGGCTAGTTGACTTAGACTGCTAAAAATAATTTATATTTCGAATATGCTAAAACTCTTTCTCATAAATATGAACATAGTGTCACCGAGATAACGAATTTTACAAACGAGTCGCAAGCAGATAATGCTTTCATTTTTTTTTTTTTTACTTTCCTCGCGTGTTCTTCCAACAAGCCATTTGTAAACGACACTGCGCCAACTCTGAATTCTTTTCGACTAAATCCAAAACAAAAAAAAAAAGAAAATATTTCTCAAGTTTTCTCGTTTAAATATTGACCTGAGAAAACAATATTTTAGAATTTTGAGGATTTTTGTGTATATTTCACAGAAGATTGAGAGCTAATTAAAAAAAGATTTTTACAATTTATTAAAGACCTTGTCAACAAACTGATATGTTATACAAATTCATTCTGCATGCTAACACAATCCGTATATAGTATAATTTATCTAAATGGAGGCATGTCAAACAAACCAAGTAATTGAACTGCATATATATAGAATGATACATAATTTAAAGCAATATAATGATAAATAGATTAATTATCAAGATAAATCAATCACTAATAAATATCAGATGTTATATTTTTATTTCCTATATAATCAAATTCCAAAATCTACATCCATTAATTTATTCAACACACAAACAACTAATTCGAATAAATTATAACTTACGAGACAATAAAATTCTTATCAATTATTTTTCTATTTTTAATTACTGATACATTATATTATATAGCACCGACTTTTAATTTGTAAGTAATAATGATTTTATTTTAATTCTTAATTTGTGATGAAAAAACATTTACTAATTTTTTCTGTTCTATAACTTAATTAATATTTCCATAAAATTGGATTTTCACTATCAAATTTATTTAAATTATTGCTACGGAAATAGATTGAACTAAATATT